TTAGTCCTCACGGGTGACAACGCATCTGCATCTTGAGTCTTTATTGAGGATAGATGTAGATGTCTGTGGGTCACAGTAACCACTTACCATCAGGTGGACTGTGTGCTCGTTTGTCACCCGATCCTATAAAAAAAAAATAAGTGATCAATTGTTTTGAAATAATAATGTGCCCGCTCGAAAAATTGTTAGTAGATTTTCGAAGTGCCCAATGAAATTACAATCGCCCTGATGATAAGTGGACACTGCTGTCCATGGACACCTGCAGCCTACTTCGAACAAAGAAGGCTACATTTCTCTGAGGACTGTAATGGAATGCCTCATCAGACTGTAATTATACTGACTTTCTATACTCTTTACACCAGAACACAAAAATAGGTAAGATGGTGATACCTTTTTTATCATGGGGAAATGCATACGTATATCCGCCTCGTGCGGGCAAGAACTTTTTATGTCGGACTCGCACCGACTAAAACCCCACCTTCGTCGCATATTGGTAGGGCCACGGGAACGCTTTCGCACACATCCGCGGCCTCAATATCGCACATTGCTATACCAACATTATCTTCCTCCGCGACTCCACGACTGCTGCATCGGTAAGGGGAGAGGGCACCCGTCTCCTTACAGCCCTCCAACACAGATCTGAAGTGGGCTTTTTTTTGCCACCTCGAGCCCCACACCTCGCGCCAGCCATTAAGGTTCCTCTTAGTTTACCGAGGGTGTCTAAGCCACGGCTATTAAGCCCCACGCCACGACAACGCGGAAACCCGTTCGGTGTCGAAGAGGGTGGTAACTACCCAAACTCATAGGCAATAACGAACTCCTACTACCTAAAACACATTTAATGTCGGTTATCTATAGAAAAGAAAGATCGTAGCCGGATCAAAAGGATTTATTAACAACATACATCGGCATCGGGCTCGTAGAGTAATGTATGAGGCAGTCGACAAAAGAGATAGTGATGGATAGGCAAGATCTTAGATTATTAATAGGTCTTTGCGCGCTGAGACCTATCAATAATCTAATGGCAGGATCATAGATTGTGTATAATTATATATGACATTGACATTAGCGTTTAGCTTACACCATAGACTTAGAATATACTGACGTAAGTATATTCTAAGTGTATGGTTTACACATCGATTAATTTAGAACATTAAAAAAATATATAAAATAAAATATTCATTTTCAATTTCCGGATAATGCGATGCCGCCGTAGGCTTTCGGCGTTGATAACAATTATTCGTTATTAAATAGAGCAGGAAGTTAGATACCATCCTATAATGTACTATGTCCTTATAATGTGGCACAAGAATTGAGTGACCAGTGTTATTAGTAGATATCTACTGTTGTTAATTTGTAGGCTCTGAACAGTAGAATGATAGGCCAAACTGTATATGGCATGTTTATAGCTAATTGATAGAATCAGGCGTTACTTTGCGGAAATCCATTATAATAGGGTTGTTATAAACAAATTACGCGGAATTAAGCTAATTAGTTTAAAACTACCCCATTATATTTATAGCTTACTAGCTGACCCGGCGAACTTCATACCGCCTAACAGTCGGTTCTTTAATTTTTTTTTTTTAATACTTATTCTGCTATTCGGGACACCGGGTCAGCTAGTACGAGTAAGATAAAAAAAGAAAAAAGAAAGTTGATAAGTCAACAATTACATTATGTCAAAAAATAAAAATTATAAAACACTCTCTTTTGTATGGGAATATAGAAACGTGTTGTTTTTAGACTTTTTCAGGCAATTTTTTAAATTTTTCTCTCCGTAAGAACCATCTTCGTACTACAAGGAATATTATAAAAAAAAGAATTAGCGAAATCGGTTCAGGTGCTCTTGAGATTTGCGCTTAGCAACACATTCAGCGATTCATTTTTATTTTATAGATAAACAAATCATTATCACTATCGATTACAGTCGTTAACAAGTACAATCCTGGACGTAAGACTCTATCAAGTAATGACCCAAAACTCGGTAATGAATGATTTGCATCCATCGACTTTCAGCATGTCTTACTAGGTCGTCACTCCATCTAATTGGCCAAACAATTTGCTTACCGGTACTAAGCGGTCACTCGAGAATTTTTTGACCCCATCAGCTGTCTATTTTTCGGGCTATGTGACCAGATAGTGAGTACAAATTTTTCCGCCACCAGGGCGGCGCCACTTAGGAATGAGTTGAAATATTTGTTTTCATGGAGGGGAAGTTAAATTGTTAGGAAAAAATATAAGTTAATATTTGTTTCTAAAGTATTAGTTACTTTATACTAATTAGATTAAAAAGTATTAAAAACCCAAAGTTATTTTTAAATTTAAAAGAATTAAAGAAGAATTTAAAAAATGTGCAAAAAATTAAAAAGCAACGATTGGGGCATTGTTTTGTGTACTACACTAGAAACCGGAAAACTTATTTTTAAACGCAACGTTTTACTTAAGGTTACACTGACTTCACCTTTCAACTAGTGACATCTTGTGAGCGTACATTTTTCAGTTTTCATTGTCTCTAGCTTATTGACCCATTGGGCTATGTTGATAATTAGTAATTTACAGAAGAAAAGGTAACAATAACGATCGCACTGTCCACCTGATATTAAGTGGATACAGTAGTCCATAGACAACTACGTCTATCATTGATTAAGAAAAAAATGCAAATGTGTTATATTACTAAAGATGAAATGCCTTCTGAGCTAATTACCGGTAAAAATATTCTTCGATTCTCGTACGTAGCAATAGTAAGCAGTATGCTGCAATCGTATGACATTATTATTCTGGGAGTTCCTAAAATGTGAGCGTAATTCTTCGGTGGTCCGACCCGTTCTCTCCACGTTATAATTATGTATACAATTATTCATTCCTTACAGCTTATCAAATGTCCACTGCTGAACATAAACTTTCCCCATAGATTGCCATTGCAACTTACTAAGACTGAGATTATAAAGGATGTTCGACATTTATTATTGAAATATGTTAAATATTAATGTAAAAGCCTAGACCAGTCCATACCGTATTTAAATTACAAAGTTAAAGTGACAAGCGAAATTAGAATCTACTTCAAACAAAGAAGGATACATATGCGTTGTCCCCTCCAAGGACTAAGATAATTACAGACTGTGAGGAAGTACTTCACAGCATGTAATTATATTGTGTGTCTGTAACCTCCAGACCGAAACACAGCAGTGCGAGCGCTGTTATTTGGAAGAAGACGAAATATGTAAGTCAAATACTGTCGAAACGTTCGGTTATTGCTAGATGTGGGACACTTAGATAGGAATCGATGGGCTGATATATGTTTAAAGATGAAAGGAAAAATATAGATAAAAACTTCGATAGATATATTGATAGTTTAAGAATTGTTAAATATCGAGTAGTTTTCTATTTATTCGAGTTTTAAACATACTAGGTCTATTAAAAGTTACATAGGTACTGTAGTAGATGAACTTTATTCCATACAAGCTTAGGCCCGGCGTGAACAAAGTTCAATTATGTTTTATTTTGAATATTTAAATATTTACTAGTTATGTCAAAATATCTTATTTTTGCAGGACCTGGGGTTTTGTTTTTATTTTATGTTTTATGATTTGTAGGTTACGTAGTAAAATCATTCGTTAAGTTGTTCAAATAAATTGAAAAGGACAAAAAAGAATGCAGTTTTGTAGTAATTATTCATTCATCATCATCATCATTACAGCCCTTCACAAGTCCACTGCTGAACATAGGCCTCCCCCAAAGAATGCCACAAAGCACGGTCCTGAGCCACCTGCATCCATCGACTTCCTGCATGTCTTACCAGGTCGTCACTCCATCTCGTGGGGGGACGCCCTACACTTCGCCTACCGGTACGAGGCTGCCACTCGAGAACCTTTCTTCCCCATCGGTTGTCGGTTCTTCGAGCTATATGGCCGGCCCACTGCCACTTCAGCTTACTAATCCGTTGGGCTATGTCGGTTACTCTGGTTCTACTGCGGATATCCTCATTCCTAAGTTTATCACGCAGAGAAACTCCGAGCATAGCCCTCTCCATAGCTCGCTGAGCGACCTTGAGCTTCCTCATACGGCCAGCAGTGAAGGACCACGTCTCAGTTCCATAAGTCATCACTGGCAACACGCACTGGTTGTACAATTTCGTTTTCAGGTTTTGAGGTATGTCGGACGAGAAGATGTGTCGTAGCTTCCCGAACGCTGCCCAGCCGAGTTGAATCCGTCGATTGACCTCTCGGTCGAAGTTGGACTTACCTAGTCGGACTATTTGTCCCAGGTAAACATACTCGTCAACAACTTCGAGCTTAGTGCTCCCAACAACTACCGGCATAGGTGTGACATGGACATTGAACATGATCTTTGTTTTGTCCATGTTCATCTTAAGACCTATCCGTTGGGAAACACTATCGAGGTCATTGAGCATAGTGCTTAGGTCCTCCAGCGATTCTGCCATAAGGACTATATCGTCGGCAAATCGAAGGTGAGTGATGTACTCGCCATTGATGTTGATACCGTATCCTTTCCAGTCCAGAAGCTTGAAAACGTCTTCCAATGCAGCGGTGAAGAGTTTCGGGGATATGACGTCACCCTGTCTTACACCTCTCTGCAATTGGATAGGTTTCGTACTCTGGTTCTGTACTCGGATAGCCATCGTAGCCCTACTGTACAAGCACTTCAACACTTCGATATACCGACAGTCAACTTCGCACCGCTGAAGGGACTGCAGCACCGCCCGAATTTCGACGGAATCAAAGGCTTTCTCATAGTCCACATACGCCAGACATAGTGGCAAATTGTACTCTTCGGACTTCTGTACAATTTGTCGAAGGGTATGTATGTGGTCTATGGTGCTAAAGCCCTTTCGGAAACCGGCTTGTTCGGGAGGCTGGAAGTCGTCAAGTCTGCGCGCGAGACGATTCGTAATGACTCTCGAAAACAGCACGTAGACGCGGCTCAGAAGGGAAATCGGTCTGTAGTTCTTCAAGAGAGCGTTGTCACCTTTCTTGAAGAACAAGACCACCGCACTTCTGCTCCACGCCTCCGGTGTAATGCCACCATGGAGGACGGAATTAAAGAGCTTCTGAAGGACTTCAAGTACCGGTCTTCCACCCGCTTTCAGAAGCTCCGCTGTAATTCCATCCTCGCCTGGGGCCTTACCGTTTTTAAGGTGCTGGAGAGCCATTCTAATCTCGCTCAGACTGACGTCCGGGATATCTTCGGAATAGTGTCGGATGAGACTCGCTCTTGGATCGTTAATCACACTTGCGTGTGGCTCCAACGATGACGTGTACAGCTGCCCATAGAACCTCTCAATCTCACTCAAAATCTCAGGTGTCCCGGAAACGATGCTGCCACATTCTGTCTTCAGCTTTGACAGGTGGCTCTTTCTGGCAGACAGATCTCTGGCAAAGACTTTGGAGCCTTGGTTCCGCTCGATCGCTTCTTCAATACGAGCTGTATTGAAGTTGCGTAAGTCCCGCCGCATGCATTTGGAGATCTGTCTGTTCAGATGCCTGTATGCTGTCAAGTCTGTTGAAGAATGTAGCTTTATCTCCCGTCTAACAGCCATGAGATTAAGAGTGTGATCGGAGAGATTTTGTGTTCTTCTGCGGCGGGTCTTGCAGAACTTAGCTCCGACCGCATGGACAGTTTCCACGAGCTTGTCATTCATATCGTCCACTTCATTGCAGTCTTCTAGGCACTGAAAACGGTTTTGTAACTCGAGCTGAAAGGTTTCGGGACTTTGGAACAGAGCACGAGGGAGACGGAGCGTTGACTTCATTAGACGAGACCTCTCCAACTTAACGTTTAGGTTCAGTGTGCCTCTAACCATTCGGTGATCGCTACCAGTTTTCACCCTCGCGATCACGGAGACATCACTGAACAGTTGTCGTCTGGTCGTCATAATGAAGTCAATCTCATTTTTTGTCGAACCGTCGGGGCTCGACCAGGTCCACTTCCTGTGGGGCCGCTTCTGGAAGAAAGAGTTCATCATAAAGAGTCCCTCTTTCTCCATGAAGTCGGCCAGCTGCTGGCCCCTTGGGTTCCGTTGCCCTATTCCAAATTTCCCTACTTTCAGCTCACCGTTCTCTCTTGTGCCTAGTTTTGCATTGAAGTCTCCCATTAACACCGTATATTGGGTTTTGGAGGAATGCATGGCTCTAGAGATATCCTCATACATTTCCTCCACCTCCCCATCGGGGTGTGCCGAGGTTGGTGCGTAAACCTGTATGACCTTCAGCGAATACCGTTTGGTGATTCTGAGTATAAGGTACGCAACCCTCGTCGACACACTCCCGATCTTTACAACGTTGTTAACGAGAGACTTGTGGACGATAAATCCGACACCTCCTTGGGACAGATGGTCGCCCTCCCGGTGATAGAGCAAGTTGCCGGATTCGAGGATTACCTTGTCCTCCCCCTCTCTTCGGACTTCGGATAATCCTATAATATGCCAGCGCAACTTGTCTATCTCTTCTTCCAGCTCCACGATCTTCTCGTCAGTCCTCAGGGTGCGTGCGTTGTACGTTGCCAGGTCGAGTCGTTTAAGGTGGCAACCGAACCTCCACCGGAGATTCTTAGCACCCCCTGCCCCGCCGTTACCATGGTCGCCACCATAGCCAGGAATAGCGGGGCCGCCGGGGACTGGGGGCCGTCTCTTTGTTACATTCATAGGGGGGTATTTGCCATAGTTGCCACGCTTGGCGAGCGGGTTGGCAACCGCAGTTTTTTTTTTATTGTAATTTTGGCTATTATCAGGAAGATGCTGCTGCCCATCTCCTGCCTGTTTCCCTTTGTCGCCTTTTACGACACCCACGGGAGGATATGGGGTAGTGGTATTCTTGACCGCCACTACACGGCATATAATAATAATAAGTATATATACAATAAAACTTAGCCTGTTTTAATTTTTTTGTTATTTTCTTTTTAATTAATAATTATAAATTATTAATAATTATAAATAAAGAAAAGCAGCCGGAGGCTGTACTTTGTCTGTTCTATCCTTCTCATTACCCAAGTACCACATTATTGTCATTATGGGGGCGCAACCTACTGTCCTGTAATTCGAGACAAAAGTCAAGGGTCAAGTTAAATAAATCCACGAAAGTAAAACCACGAAATCTATCCACAAACACAGCCATAATGCCAAATGCGCATGACAATGACAAGTTCAAAGTCGAAGTTATCAAGATAAGTCTCCTTCGGGATAGGCAATGATCAATGACCATAAAGACTATTCAGTCGTGTCAGATAATACATGTTTAAAATACCTTTTACATCATTTATTAAAACTTGTACATATTAACTTTAAATTTTAATTACATTTTAGGTTAAGTTGTATTTTGTTTTTGAATGATGTTGTCTTTTGCTTTTGTTTATGTTTTGTCCATAGATTAATAGATCTGTAGCAAGTGCATAGTTCAAGTTAATTTTGTCGCTGGGAAGGTTTTTTTTATTAATATATGACCAGTGATACAAAGTCCTTTGGACACAGTATATATGTCGTCTATGAGATACTTCTCTATGATACTTTTCAATTGTTCTAAGTTCTGTTATTTATTATCAGTAATCTTAATGTAGCCTAGTTGTAGTTGTCTTGCAAATCATTTTTATTTTTAGTGCTTTGTGTATTACATTTGTCTTTTAATTTTTGACCGTGTTAGCTAGTGGGTGGTGCAGGGATGGCAGTTTGGCAATCGAAATTATTACTATTTTTTTACTTTATGGAATTTTAATTATACTATATTATTTATTCTTACCATTTAGGTCTATATTATTTGTTTATTTTATATTCTATTACATATAGATGAGTTTCGATGATGATTATTTTCTTTCTGCCAACGAGTTTTGTTCATCAAATGACAGTTATTGCTCTATTACTGAAACGCTAGGGGATTTTGTGCGGTATAAATTCGATAAATCCGACTCTTTGTTTAATGTTTGCCACAGAGAAGGCCGACCTTTTAGGCTCCCTTTTTGCGTCCAACTCGACTGTTGATGACGGGGGGAACACACCGCCGACCATCCCGCGGTGTGAGTGCTCCATGCCGGATGTGTGGTTCTCACAGCGCTCGGTTCGCAGAGCACTCCTCTCCCTTGACATCCACAAGTCGAGTGGGCCTGACGGAATCCCCCCAATTGTGCTGAGGACTTGTGCTCCGGAGTTGGCACCGGTTATAACGCGTCTTTTCCGGTACTCCTACTCCCTATAAAATCCCTAAAAAAGGTGACCGCTCAGACCCGTCCAACTACAGGCCTATCGCCATCACCCCCTTGTTCTCCAAAATAATGGAATCCGTTATAAACTGCCACCTCATGCGGTACCTTGAGGATCACCAGCTGATTAGTGACCACCAGTACGGTTTTCGTCGAGGTCGATCAGCTGGTGATCTTCTGGTCTACTTAACTCATAGATGGGCGGAGGCAGTAGAGTCCAAGGGGGAGGCATTGGCCGTTAGTTTGGACATTGCGAAGGCCTTCGATCGGGTTTGGCACAAAGCGCTTCTTGCGAAGCTCCCTTCCTATGGGCTTCCCGAGATGTTGTGCAATTGAATCACCAGCTTTCTTGCAGATCGGAGCATCAAGGTCGTTGTAGACGGTGCACGCTCCGACTACAAGCCTATTAACGCTGGTGTTCCACAAGGCTCCGTGCTATCACCAACGCTGTTTCTTCTGCATATCAATGATATGTTGCAAGCCGGTAGCATTCATTGCTATGCGGATGACAGCACTGGTGATGCTCTATACACCGGCCGTGCCAATATTTCTCGGGAAAACGTCACCGAGTACCGGAACAAACTTGTGTCTGAAGTCGAGTCTTTGCTGGAAAAAGTCTCGGATTGGGGGCGACTAAATTTAGTCCAGTTTAATCCTCAGAAGACACAAGTTTGCGTGTTTACCTCTCTGGGCAGGGGCTCCCCAGTGCCAGCTCCTTCCACTTGACCGCATCCAGCGCAGAGCGGCTCGAATCGTCGACGACCGAGTCCTTTCCGATCGGCTCGACTCATTGTCACTGCGAAGAGATGTTGCATCTCTTAGCATTTTCTTTCGCATTTACCATGGGGAGTGCTCTGAGGAATTGTTCGTATTAATCCCAGCCGCCAAATTTCACGAACGCACATCGCGGCAGAACTCCCGATACCATCCACACCATCTGGATGATTGGCCGTCCACCAATGTGCGATTTAGAAGATGTTTTCTTCCTCGCACAACTTCCTTGTGGAATAGTTTACCACCAGCGATTTTTCCGGACCGATACGACTTTGGGACCTTAAAGAAAAGAGCCTACTCCTTTTTAAAAGGCCGGCAACGCATCTGCAATTCCCCTGGTGTTGCGGTTGTTCATGGGCGGCGGTAGTCACTTACCATAAGGTGAGCCGCATGCTCGTTTGCCCCCTCTCCTATAAAAAAATATAAAAAAAAATGAATGCACAAAGCGTACCTAGGTAGTACAGAGATCTGACTGAGGCTTTCTCTAATGCTGATATCCATGCCGTTTTGATTTCGCAGACTTGGTTTAAGCTCCATCTTTCTTCTACCTCTTACCCTCGCTCTGGCTTCAGTTTGATACGCAACGATCGAGTTGATAGGAGAGGGGTTAGGGTCGCTATATATATCTTCGTTGCGACTTCTCTTATAAAATTCTAGCTTCTTCTTCCCCCTATTATACTGTATCTGCAGAATTTATTTTTCTTGAAGTTTGCGTAAAAGGAGCTAAATAGATACTTGGTGCTGTCTACTGTCTTCCTTCTGTCGATTACTTCTCCAGTCTTGAAACGATTCTGGAGTACTTGGGGTCCGAATACTCACATCACATTATCATGGTCGATTTTAATACAGACCTCCTGATTCCGCACTCAAACCGTTCCTCTAAGTTCCTTCAAATTGTCGAATCTGTTGGCCTCCAAGTTTTACCCTTACAAGCCGCTCACCACAATATTGATGTAGAGGATACCTGGTTTGACTTAATCCTTATCTCTGCTTCTTCTCTTGTCTTCTCCCACGGACAACACTTTGCACCTGCTTTCTCCTATCATAACCACATTTTCCTTTCTTACATCCTAAAACCTCCTAAACCTCCGGCTAAAACTCTTCACATGCGTTGTTTTGGTCACTTGCATATTGAAAAGCTTTGTACGGATGCCTCGGAAATAAACTGGAACAACGTGGTTTCTGCACCCACTGTGGACGAAAAGGTCGGGGCTTTGAATGAAGCTATCCCTAGATTATATGATGTACATGCTCCAATGTAAAAAGTTATGCTTAAGCGTCCCCTTGCGTCCTGGATGACGATTGGGGTTCGAATTGCGATGAGACGTAGGGATCGGGCTTTCGCCAAATTTAGAAAAGATCGATGTGATCAAAACTGGACTCTTTATAAAGTTGCATGGAATCGGTGCACTCATATGATACGCAACGTCAAAAGCCGATTTATTCATAGTAACATCGCATCTTCTTCTCCTGCTAAATCTAGAAGTTATATAAGTAAGGTTGTGAGTTTCATGGGACGATTGGTCTGAATGATATTAATTTTCATTTTGTCTCCAACAGTCCTCTTCATCACCAGACCAAGCGTCTTACTCTTGAACACTTAATGTATTTACGTCGTCCCGACATTGATCTATTTCAGTTTTCTCTAGTAGCTGTGGATGAGATCAAGAAGACAATCCTTTCCAATAAATCTAATGCTGTAGGTTGCGACAACATCATCCGACTGATGATTATCTATATACTTCACCATATCCTCCCAGTTATCTCGCACATCATTAACTTCCGATTTTCCTTCAATGTGGCGTAAGGCCTACGTTATTCCCTTACAAAAAATCCAAAATCTCACTTTACGCAATAATTTTCGAACTATATCCATCCTTCCCTTCTTATCCAAGGTTCTTGAGGCCTGTGTCCACAAGCAACTTTCGCAGTTTATCTCCTGTAATAACTTATTAAGTCCCTTGCAGTCTGGCTTTAGGCCCGGTCATAGTACCGTTTCTGCACTCCTGAAACTGGTGATATTAAGGCAGGCATAGAGGACACTAAGGTCACTGTGTTGGTTTTAGTTGACTTCTCTAACACCTTTAATACCATCAGTTATGACATCCTAATTTCCATCCTTTCCCTTTCTAT